GATTTTCAAAAAAGAAGAGAGACATTGCTAGTATCACACATGTAGACGGCGCACAGCTAAGCAGTCCGGAAAGACACCCTTTTCAATACAACGGAACACGGTTAATACGGACACTGAAGGGTTAGTTTTAGAGAAAATATATGAGGTATACCAGTGTTGGAGAGAAGCAAAAAGTAACTGTGAGCGGTGAATACAGTTAGAGAAAAGTTAGGGCAGTGCAACATTAGAATCATCTGAAGAATTGTGGATGGACTATGCCGAAAACTTGTCTTTAAAAGTTATATCGTTTTTTGTTTGTTTGTTTGTTTGTTTTAAGTAATAAATCGAATAATTTATGTGGAGAGAAGAACTCAGAAAAAAAATTTAAGACTTAATCCATAAGGAAATTGAGTAATTTTAATTTTCAGTGGACAAAAACCTTGTACCATAATATTTTAAGCGATATCGCATTCTTTTTTACATTTTTCAAGGGCTTAATTATATACATAATTAGTTATCTGTAATAACACCAAAGACAATTTCTTATAGGAGCCAGAGAAAACAAATTTCAAATTTCACAGATATTGAGAAAACACAGGTGAAATCGTCCTGCGTAAGATGACATTTTGTGAAATTTAAAGCTTTTGAAGTTTGTTTTCTCGGGCTCCTATAAGAACCTTCTCTTTGGAGTTATTTCATATGACGTATTACATTTCTACCTGGAGTTTTGAAACCGGGTCAAGTCCAGCACATTGGAGGCAGTCTTTCAAAACTTAATTTGCTTAAAGCGGTGATGCTTTTAGTGTAAAAATAAAAATCTCCCTCTTCAGGACAAACCACCCTCAGCTCTTAACCATGGGCTCCAAATAACTTCCTTGAATTGACAGAAATCAGTGGAAATTCCAGAAAATACGCACTAGGGGGGGCAACAGGCCGGCCGGTAAGGCCGGCCTGCTGCGCCCGTTGGGCAGCTAATTTTTTTTGAGGGGAGCTTCCTTCGAACAAAGCGTCCTGTTGTTGCACAGACACAGGGCTATCATCTGATATGCATTTGCGGTAGCCTGGTTAAATTCCAGGAGATGGGGTTGTTCTAAAGATTATGCTTTGTGCTAGATTGTTTATTTGCTGAGTTTTTGTACCGGGCTTACCCCTATCTTTCAAAGCTCAGTGTCTCCCTTAAAATTGAGAGGCGTTTTTGTCTGGCTGGGTGTCACGTTGTTGCACAGACACAGGGCTATCACCTGGTATGCATTGGGGTAGCCTGGTTAATTTCCAGGGGGGGGGGGGTAAGGTTTTGTTTAGACCACTATCCTCAACTTCCTGCCGAGTAGTGAGAGCTTGGACTCGAAATCCAGCGGTCCCGGATTCGATTCCGGTCTGGCCACTTGCTGGATCTGTACTCGGTCGTCCCGAGTTCACTTTCTTGGATAATAGTTTATTAAAACTATCTTGCGGAAAAAAAAATGAATTAACGAGTTAAGTTACATTGTACTACAATAACAATTCATCATACTAGTTAAAGTATTGAAATGTAAAAAAGTTATCTACCCTCTTTGTCCTACAAGTGATGGACTCATTAAACAAATAGATTTCGCCTGCGTTTTTCCTTAGATTGTATTCGAGTTGATTAATGAGTGGCCTTGGCAATAGGAAGTGTGGGAAGAGTAAAGGAAGGAAGTTGGGGTTTTTAATCCTGTTATGTTCTGTTTGGATTATTTGTCTCTTATTATTTAAGTGGAGTGCCTGTAAACTAGCTGGATAAGCTAAGTGCACTTTCTACTATAAACAAACAAGCCTTTAACCTTTTTTTTTTTCTACCTGTTACAGACGAGGCTTCCCGCAAAAATCAACATTAATTGCATGTCCCAATCTAAGACTCATTTATGTCAACTACCCCACTATTAAGCGCTTTATAAAAGCACGTTTAATTTACTTCAAATCCAGAACCCGAATCGGCAAAGCTTATATTATTGGCAATATTAATAAGCTAACTTAAATACGCCCGACTTTATGGAACTAGTTTTTAGCCAGAAAAAAAAAATGTAAATAAAAACATTAAATTCTTTGTCAGTTAAAGTGTGCTATCTGACCAGCTTTGGAAACTGGCGAAATGTTTCATCTTATCGATATCATGGAAGGTTTTTTTTTAGTGTGGGACGCAGAAGACTGGGGCCGAGCCCTAAGAACTAGCAGCATGATGGGATATGAAAAATCCCGGTGTTAGAGGGAAACCAGTTGACTCCGACGAAGCCGTACCACCCGCAAGGAATCGCCAGCTGGAACGCATGAACCGCACACTGTTAGCAATGCTGAAAACACTGCCGGCGAAACAGATAACAACTTGGAAAGTATTTGTCTTAAGCTTATCCACGCCTGTCCATTTTATTTAATGTTTAGCCGTACCCTTCGATTACCAGTTCATTTCCCTGCCTTGGATTAGAACAGAGAGACAGTTGATTACCCAAACTATGTCAGCCAGTGGCAGGCCGACAAAAAATATTCGTATGCGTTAGTATCACACAATGTTGGGAAATCATCCTTCTGCAGGATTAAAGCACACAGCACGGTACAGCAACCTGGCGGGACTCGTGTTCTCGTCCAAAACTTGTTGGAAAGAGAGGGCCGGCCTGGAAAGTTTCGCTCACATTAGGAAGAACAGATACACATCATTCAGGAACGAATATGAGACAGTCCTGTCTATCGGGTAAGGCCGGAGGGTGGACGAGTAACAAGGAATCTCAGAACGTAATTTGTTCCTACCTCATAACGACCTGTCATTTGTAACGCAATCTTCCTCAAAGAAAGACCGCTGTGCCACCCCATCACGCCAGTTTTAGGTGATGAGTATACAGTGACCACACCAAACAACCGCATATATCGGCCAAACAAGACACATGGACCCAGGGGGAACACTTTTGGGAAGTTTGAGAAGCGATGCACCGACGAGGCCTGCAAACGTTCGTTTCGCTACCCTGTTTAAGACAAGAGGCCTTTGGTCATGACCTTGATTCTTTTCATTTTGTATAGAAAATTAAGAATTTTTTTACAGAAAACTTTATCATAGAATCAGAGATTTTCAAAAAAGAAGAGAGACATTGCTAGTATCACACATGTAGACGGCGCACAGCTAAGCAGTCCGGAAAGACACCCTTTTCAATACAACGGAACACGGTTAATACGGACACTGAAGGGTTAGTTTTAGAGAAAATATATGAGGTATACCAGTGTTGGAGAGAAGCAAAAAGTAACTGTGAGCGGTGAATACAGTTAGAGAAAAGTTAGGGCAGTGCAACATTAGAATCATCTGAAGAATTGTGGATGGACTATGCCGAAAACTTGTCTTTAAAAGTTATATCGTTTTTTGTTTGTTTGTTTGTTTGTTTTAAGTAATAAATCGAATAATTTATGTGGAGAGAAGAACTCAGAAAAAAAATTTAAGACTTAATCCATAAGGAAATTGAGTAATTTTAATTTTCAGTGGACAAAAACCTTGTACCATAATATTTTAAGCGATATCGCATTCTTTTTTACATTTTTCAAGGGCTTAATTATATACATAATTAGTTATCTGTAATAACACCAAAGACAATTTCTTATAGGAGCCAGAGAAAACAAATTTCAAATTTCACAGATATTGAGAAAACACAGGTGAAATCGTCCTGCGTAAGATGACATTTTGTGAAATTTAAAGCTTTTGAAGTTTGTTTTCTCGGGCTCCTATAAGAACCTTCTCTTTGGAGTTATTTCATATGACGTATTACATTTCTACCTGGAGTTTTGAAACCGGGTCAAGTCCAGCACATTGGAGGCAGTCTTTCAAAACTTAATTTGCTTAAAGCGGTGATGCTTTTAGTGTAAAAATAAAAATCTCCCTCTTCAGGACAAACCACCCTCAGCTCTTAACCATGGGCTCCAAATAACTTCCTTGAATTGACAGAAATCAGTGGAAATTCCAGAAAATACGCACTAGGGGGGGCAACAGGCCGGCCGGTAAGGCCGGCCTGCTGCGCCCGTTGGGCAGCTAATTTTTTTTGAGGGGAGCTTCCTTCGAACAAAGCGTCCTGTTGTTGCACAGACACAGGGCTATCATCTGATATGCATTTGCGGTAGCCTGGTTAAATTCCAGGAGATGGGGTTGTTCTAAAGATTATGCTTTGTGCTAGATTGTTTATTTGCTGAGTTTTTGTACCGGGCTTACCCCTATCTTTCAAAGCTCAGTGTCTCCCTTAAAATTGAGAGGCGTTTTTGTCTGGCTGGGTGTCACGTTGTTGCACAGACACAGGGCTATCACCTGGTATGCATTGGGGTAGCCTGGTTAATTTCCAGGGGGGGGGGGGGGGGGTAGTTGTAAAGTTTGATGTGTTTTCGCACTGTTATGCAGTTTGTTCGTGCGGTTTGCATGCAAGCAATGACCCACTCTGTCGATAATGGTCCAAGTCAGCAAGCAGTTTATGATTGGTGGTTGTAGGACTTGGTTTTGTTCAGCAGAGGTGGTTTAGATTGTTTTTGGGAGACCAGTTGCAGTGAAAAATGGGGTGAACTGGGGAAATGGCTTTGCAATCGGTGACGTCAACACTAAAGATTGTCCCTTAAAATGCCTTATTTTCCAGACTAATGAGGAAAGCTTCACTTTTGGTACCTTCAAGACAGACGTTTCTATCAAATGGAAGCTCATGTATTCAAGAATTTCTTTTTGAGGTGAGATTTTACTTTTCAAGTAAGAAGGGGCATTAAATTACCAATCAGTGCGAGAGACTGACATGTTTTAGTGTTCCGGTTTTCAAAAAACTAGGTATATTTATAGCCCTTGAAAAATATAAAAAATAATTGCAGTGAAATTATTTTGGTACAAGGTTTTTGTTCACTGAAAATTAAATTACTCAAATTCCTAATGGATTCCGTCTTAAAAGCTTCAACCCGACTACCAAAAAAGGCTAACTTCCTAAGAATTATCTTTCATTTCTTCTTTTATTCCTTTACAAATAACACTCGTTTTGAATTGTTGACCTGTGCACATACAAGAACGGCTCATAAATTACCTTAACTCGTGTGTAGGATTCATTGAGTATTGCAATCAACGTGTTAAGACCCACAAGAACCGCTACAATGTTGAACAAACCAAACAACATCAAGGCCGTTATGTTATGGTAAGGCTCCTCCGACTCTTCCACCTTAAGATCAGTATGTTGACTCATCCCGAAAAACGCCCAGAATATAAAGTTTGCACTGTTTTCTAACCTAAAAACAGAACAAAATTATTTAGCAATTATTGAACGAGACTGTCATTTATTTCAACCTATAACAAACGTCTAGATCTGCATAGTTTTTCATATCATAAGAAAGCTGAATATTAAATTACTAATAATTATTCATTTAAAATAGTTCTCAGTTCGGCTTCCTTTACTTCTAGTAAACTTTCTTCGGAACATTTGCTGTTTCTCGAAGTTTCAGAATGTAACGGAAATAATAATAAACGATTAACTAACTAAGGCTTCTCCGTTCTTCTTCCACAAAAACCCTCTTTGGTTCATCCTGCTTGGTTTTCTTGAAAAACATTTTGCCGTCTATTGTCCAGGCGATTTCGAAGTGATTGTCTTTTTTAAATTTCCTCACTTTCGCAAACAACTTGCGCCTAAAGTTTAGTTGTTTGTAGCAGCAAAATACCGACTAAGACTTGACTGATTTTAAGTACTTCTTCGGTTTGTGTGATTTGAAAACAAACGATAATAGCTTTTGGACCATTATCGTTCCTGCTATACATTCTATGGCAAATTTCAATGTCTTTTGGTGATATATGAACATTGACAATTTTTCCTAACTTGATGACATTTTCAGCAATGTTCTCGTCGGCAATTTCGGCGATTCCATGGACCTCTAGATTGTCACTTTACGTGTGTAGTGCTCTAAGTCGTCAAGTTGGTTTGATTACCGTTCCAAGATCCTCGTGCATGTTGTCGACGTCCTCAGTCTCACGTGTCATGGAGTGAATCTTTGAGCGATGCCACTTCTTCCCTGATTTTCTCATTCTCTTCTTTAAGCAGGGACCGCGCAGCAAGTTTTCGAGTGGGGGGGCTAAAGAAGAATGCGTGAAGGAAATTTTTTTTGGGGGGGGGGAGGGGGGCCGGGGGGGCATGCTTGTGGATTTCTATTCAATTTCTCTTAAGTGATGGAGAATGTGAATAACGATAAAACTATTGATTTTTTCCACATCTTAAGTGATGTTGCTATCGGGTCTGAAAATTCACCATCACTAAATTGAAATATCATAGATTGTTATGTTATACTACTGATATCAACCTTTTATTACTATAAATAAGCCAGAAATCCAACGATTTTGCTTGAGCTGCCCTTGAACTCAAGGCTGTATAATTACTGAGCAATTATTGCACGAGGCTGAGTATGATATGAAGAGTTATGCAGATCGAGGGGGTTATCCGCCAAAGCCTAAGGCCTGAGCCCGGTGGATAACACCCTCCGAGATCTGTATATCTTCATATCATACGAAAGCCGAGTTCAATAATTGTTTAATTATTCATTCAAAATATTTACACGGCAAAACAAAACAGTAACTGAAAATAATTTAGTGAATTAAAATTCAATTATAGATTCAGAAAAAAGTAGCAAAAATTATGCAGAGTTTACTCACCAGATAAAGAAGGTTTTCCATTTTGTTTGGAAAAGTAATCAGAAATTTTAAGAGATCTCTTCTTTGCATTACTAGTGGTATGTGAAGTCTCGTCGTTCGTATTTATGTTGCCGTGTACCATGCACTTCTTTGTTCGTAATAACCGCCGGATTGAATGTTCCTTGATGACCAGAGCTATACACAATTCTGCGGTTTAAGTACTTTCGATGACAAAATGTTTTTAAAAACAGACCGCGTTCAACAAAACTTGCAATTGGAATGCTCAACGAGCCGTGAAGCCTGACATAAAAAGACGGACTTCGCGCTGATCGAGCTAAAATCAGGACGCACAATAACAAGAGAAACAATAACTTCATGATCTTCCAAAAATCAAGGTTGAAACTCATAATGTGTGAGAATCGCCCACTAAACTAAACCCAGTTATTACTTCGGATCGAAATTGACCAATACGAAACAACGCGTTTTCCTGAGAGGTTCGCAGGAAAAAGAAGCCATTTAAAAGACGTTTACCTCTGCTAGGTTAGAAGCGAAAAAATATTTTACAATTTTAACGACTAATGCTTCATTCTGTCTATTTATCTGCTCGTTTGTCTTTGCCAGTAACTCTAGTCACTTTCGAATTAACGATTTTTTGCTATTTTTCACTCCGTTACTTTTGTTAAATTATTTTTGTTAAATTTATTTTTATTCTTGCAAAAAAGTGGGGGGGCTAAAGCCCCCCCAGCCCCTCCCTCTGCGCGGTCCCTGTTAAGGGACTCTAACTCGCTGTTATTGAACTCTAAGGGCTTCTTCAACTCTTTGTATTGCTTTCTTAAAGCTCAATTTTCTTCCAAAAGCTCATCGATCCACACCTTAACATCACTTTCAATGTCGCTCAGCTCTCCAAACGTCTTCGCTGACTTAGTTGGAGGTATGTCGGGTGAGCTTTACTGATCCTTTCCTCACGCCTTCGTCGTATGACAGCTCTACTGTCCTCGTCGCCTCCTTTTTTGACATTTTTCTTTAAGCGGAAAGAATAAAAATGCGCACTTCTCTGAAACACGTCCGCGCATCGTGCGAGTCTTCCCAGTTTCCATCCATACCTTCTCGTAAATTTTCTTCACAACATTGGCAGTTTCTCGGTACACTTTGAGAATGTTAACATCGAGCTTTTTTTGTACTCGTATACTTTTGGTCATTCATTCGGCTGTTTCGGCTTCGGATGACAGCGAACTCTTTCCCCATTTTCTTGAGCTCTGGAAGCGAGTGAAACCAGCCAGGCTGCTGCGTGGGCAATATACAATCATTGACGTCAGAGGCATTGCATTGACCATAATGAATGCCTGTGCGCATTTTCCAGATTTGGTGAGTGACAGCTGGTAATGAAGATTTAGCCGAGGGATTAAAGCCACTTAGAAAAGGCGAAATATTTTAAATTAATAATGATTGTAATTTTGAGGAGGCTCTTGACTAGATAAGGTACATTCAAAGAAGGCCGCGGTCTTTATTACATTTTTACCGTTTTCGAAGCGGCGTTTTTCAAATCATATTCCTTAAGTGACCGACAACAATCACGTCAAGTCATCAGTAAATACTATGTAAAAGAGAAATACTTTTAAGTTTCATTGTTTCGCTTTTCCTCTTTTGCTGAGGAAGAATCGCAATTGTCTGGCTTGCGATAGACCGCGTTGTCGAGTTAAAGCCGCCTTTTTCTGATCGGGAGCGACGTTTATTCGAGGGCAGCATTTGCAATAGGAAATTTTGCATCCATCTGAGTTGTTTAGTCAAAGGCGGAGTTTGTTTGAGGGTAGCGTTTAATCAAGTAAATAATGTATTTTTTTAACTTGGCGAAAATTTAAATCCCCTTATAATATATTAATACTTTAAGTTGAGTCTGTATGAACTTAGTAAGTATTTGCTGGTACCATTATTGATTGAAGTATCATCTGAAAAAGCGTTGTAATATTCAATATTGATCGATCGCAGTCGAAAGACTAAAATGCTACAGTTACCATAAGATTGTGAGCCACCTTAAGTTTGTTGTCTTGTCAACGCCTGTAATTATAATACGCTTCAAACCATGTCAGTCCTACGTTTTGTCTATTTCAGTAAGACTATATTTGTAATTTAGACGAACAAGAAAATAGGAACGTTTGCATGGTTGTACGCACCTTTCAAGTTTTAGAGGATTGCTTTCCTGTTTTGGCTTTGCAAGGAAAGGGCCTTTTCGTTCAATCAGTGTATAAAGCTCAGTTAAACTCAGAGCAAATGCCAGAAAAACAAAACTGAAATATAAAAAGAACTTTGCAACATCAATTAGCATCTGTGTAAATGCATTTAGCAGTGGACCAATACTGGTGTTTGCTTCAAGAAATGATAAAGTGTTGAAAAAGGCCAGAAAGAGGGCCAAAACTCTCAAGGTGTCGGGGACTATAAAATCCACCTGCGGAGATAGGCCGAGTAGATAACTGAGGTCGTATGAAACCACTGTCGCCACGGCCAGATAATTCCAATTGTAGGAAAAAAAGCGGAGTCTTCCTTGTTGGACAATGTCCTTTATAATATCCACTGTTTGACCAATCATAAATGCATCGATATACATATACAAAGCTGTGGAAAGAAAAAGGAAAAACCGTCGATAACGGACATTAGGTGGGGTTGCACTAGCCGTATTACTCCTGGGAAAATGGCTGTTGCCCAGGGGGAACTACTTTTTGTGTGACCGATTTTCCCCAGGTGAAATTGCCACAGGGAGATTTCCAAAGATACGTATAAAAAGAGCCCAAGAATGGCCGTGTCATTCTTCAGTGCGTTAATAAGAACCCAGGGCGGCTCAACCAATAACTAAAGAGTGGAGAATCAAACAGTAAAAATCAAGTGTCGTTTACGTTCTGTGTTCATGATGACGCTTAATCCAATCTTACACGCTGCTGGTTGGTAAAGGTTTGACAACGCAAAAGGATTTGGAGCGCTGCTGGGATGAATGTTTTTGCATTTAATAAATTCAATTGAAGGCACCTTGGAACACTCGGAAGTTTAATTTACAACAGTGGATGAAAATTCATTCCTTAAGAAGTCCATAGAACCGATTTTTTAGACTTTTTTTGGCCTTTTTTATGGGCGACTGAAAATGACGTTTTCTTTAAGCTCTTTTAAGAGCATTGACTTAGGACTTAAATTTAAAAATTTAAGTCCTATTTCAATGCTCTTACTAAGAGTAATTGATGTGGAAGTTTCATTCAAAGGCTAGGGTGAGATTACCGAAAACGTTCTACGCTTTAGTCACTTTTCAATGTTTACAAGGACTTTTATGTTACAGTGAAACTGGTTTCAAGTTTTTTTCTCCCCCTCAGTGGGCAAACAAGAAAGTGATCTAAACCCAGAGAGAACCCATCCGAAGCTATTTCCCCCAAGGAAAGCTTTGGGGAAAAAGTCTAGTGCAACACATGAAGCGCTAAAAGGTGCATCAGTTTATTGTGAAAGATTACCATATTTTGACTCACATCTCTTACCAGTTAGCAAGTCTGTTTCTTCAATATTCAGATACGTGGTAGCAGATTTGAAAACCAGCAGGAAAATAATTGTTTGATAGGAGGTATAGTAGAGCAGAAACTTTACACGAGTGGATTGAAACATACTGGTCAGTTTATTTCTGGGGAAACAGGCCTCAAAAATGAACCAAACCAAGAAAATCAGTGGGTGCAGGACGGACACTAGTATCATTAACACCAACTCCTTCCAGACACTTTTCACCTCCAGGAAAGGCGCGCTTTTGTATATTTCGGAATTTAGTGTCAGCTGGCTGTAGGGATGACTGACAAACTGAAAGGTTAAAATGAGTCGTTAGTTGTATTTTATGAACGAGATTAGCTCTTATTGTTGTTTCAGCGATTTCTAATAACACACCACCATCGCATTTAGTTTCACGCAGTTTAAGCTTGATGGACGATAATCAAAACAAAACCTAGTTTTTGCTCAAAAATATTTATACCCTGGATCAGTTACGAAATTTAAACCCAACTTGGTAGTTTTCTGGTTTTGGCAAATTCGTGCGTTGAGGCCGATCCTCAGTAATTGAAGTCCGTTCCAATCAATGTGTAATTGATTAATCTCCCAGCATGCTCGGAGGGAAGCAAGGAAGCAAGAAAGCAAAGAAGCAAGCAAGCAAGCAGGCAGATCGTTTCATCGTAACATACAAAAACCCTCCACCAAATTATAATTTCTTTAAAAGACGATAACTTTGGAGATTGTAACCATCATACAAAACCATTTGAACTGTTTTTAGAAAAAAGACGAAATTTAGCTAAATAACCTTGACGTCGATTTTGATTTCTCTCTTCCTTTAGAGACGTCATGGCCAATATTGGTCTTTTTCTTCAGTAATCTACATCCTGCACCTCACAAATATTCACCATTCGATTTGGTGGTCAATTTGATATCAACAAGCGCGAAGCAAGGTTAAGAGTAGGGGGTGCTAATCCAAACACGAAAGAGCTTACTAGGAGCTCTGGTGGGATGCTTCCACGGTAAAAATTTGAGATTTATATGTCCTGAAATAAGTAGAGGCGCAACTAGAACCTGCACTATCCTTTTTCAATAGTAGTAATGCACTAAATTTTTATTGATTATATTGCCACTATTTTCAGATCCTTTTATAGATAAATAACAACACACCTTCTTATTTTTTGTCAAGACAGCAAATTCCAGCACGTTTAGGGAATCTATCTCCAATTTAGACAACATTTTCCTTTCGCTCTTTGTTTCCAAAACGCAACTGATCTCTTCCATTGTGCAGCATTCATTTAGGAGCGAAACAGTGAATTCTTCACAGCCATCACATAGCTGAAGGTACTCGTTCCTAAATTCGTATTCTTGCTGGGCCATGTCACGGAGTTGCTTGTTAAGGGTACAAGCTTGAAGAACTGGGTCTAGACCACGTTGCACGTCTTGCAGAAAAGACGCCGCGATAAACACAGGACTGGCCAGTGCGCGGTATTCATTTAAACGGTACACTGCGGGACCGAGCTTCTCGCTGACCGCTCCAGTGGAGTCTCTCGACCATCGAACAGCTGTAGGAACGTCGACAGTGAGTCCATGTTCAAGAAGAAGCTTGACAATTTGAAAATTCTGCAAACAGGCCGCCAAGATTAGCGGTGTTATATGAGCGGTTATGCCTCTTGCGGAGATCGATTCCCGTGGCGATGTCTGGTGTTGTTTATCATAAAATTGAAGCAGTATTTTCACTACCCTCGCGTCTTCTTGACGCACTGCATTCAGCAAACCAATCTGTAAACTGGCCCCGTTATTCAATAGCGCTGTAATTATTCTTTCTCGAACGGAAGAATCTTCCAGATCTGCTGCCACTTGTAAAGCTGTTTTGCTGGAACTGTCCAAACAATCAAGATCGATTTTTGCTTGAGATGAACTAAGCAAGTCCCTTAATTCATCTAAATTCCCGTTCTTTATAGTCTTGTAAATATTTACTTGTAGCTTATCAATGAGTGGACGACTACTATCCAATTGCAAAATAAATGTTGGTTCCATTGGAGGAAGATTTACCACCAAAGACAGACTACCTGCAATTCAATGGGAAGCAAAAATGCTAAGAAACGTCTGTATGGCCAATAACCGCCGTCAGTACTAAAAAAAATTCCAAGACGCCTTAGAAGCGTGGACTTGAACAAAAAAATGAACGCAACCTTGTTGGTGCTATTGTACACGTACAGGTACATGTATCAGTGAATTACAATTTTGAGAAAAAATAAACCAGAAGGAATGTTATAAGGAGGTTTAACCCTGTTTTCAGTGACCATACCTACTCTGTTTGGATACAAATACGCCTCAAACGAAGTCGGTAATCGAATCATACCCACTTGAAGAGTAAAGATTAGAGTTTACATGAAAAGGAAGTTGCTCTTCATAGCAATGCAGTGGGGCCATTTCCAATTTTACATTTCTACATGTACAGTTTGTGAGAAATCTAGACACTCGTTTTAGTTCATACAGTTGTGGTTAACCGTGGTATTACATTACCGTCACCCATTCATACACCTAAATGAAGAGAGACGTTATAATTCCTAGCATCGTAAGGGAGCAGTAAATTCATGAGCCTAATCTCTTTATTCAATCTCAGTCGGAACGATCCCAGAACCTGGCAGATTTTTGGAGAACGTACTGTCCATTTCTTCACTGTAAGAACGCTCACCAAGCAAACGACATTATACTTAAAAAAGACGATACCTTTATCCTTTATCCTTTATCACAAAAAAGTGCTTGCAGAGCTTTTCAATGGTTATTTCGTAAACATTTTGGGATGCCGGGGAAACTACAAAAATGGATTATGGTGCTGATTTTATTGAACATCCTAGAATTAGAGCAATAAAGTACAACAAAGCGGAGAAAGAAACTTCTAGAATTGAGCCAGTAAACTCATCTCAATGACTCAGTTGGAACAGCTACTATCTTCTATCAAGAGTCACAAATCTTGTGGACATGATATGTTACATCCGAAGCTACTTAAAATAGCCGCTCCTGGTTTGTTCCTGGCTAGGCTGAAGGCGCATGGAGTAACGGAACCTGGCATTGCTCTGATGCGGAATTATCTAACTGAGTAAAAGTGGGCGACAATGTTTCTACCTAGAATCCAGTTAAAAAGGGGGTTCCACAGGGATCAGTCCTTGAGCCCCTTTTCCTCAAGGTCTTCATGAATGATGTCCTTTACTTTATGGATAGAGTATGTATTAAGCTTACGCTGACGATGAGCAGATTCATGACTCAGGTAAAGATCCAGTGAGATAAGCTGAACAAAGGTTTGGTGTGAATGATATGACTGAAAACCCAGACAAGTATCAAATGATGGTGTTAGGAAATACTTATCACGTTTTTAGTTTTCACGTCGACAGCATTAAAATTCCTGTGGTCTAGTGTCCCGTAATCAATAAAATCAAACAACGCTATGAGCACAGTGGCCAGTTCCTCACAGTTGCACTATTCCAAGCATGCGATGAGCGCCTCTGTGGTGATTGACATTATCCTGGCATAGCAAAAAAACTGTTCGGATTCACTTTCACGAACCAGGAGCCTGCACAAACACATCAGCTTTTACGTGCCGGACGTCCAAGAATTCTCCTGCCATTTTCGATAGCACAGGTGTTAGGATAATTGGCGGTAAGTGCCTGTCTAAGTCATACAGACAGATACCTGTTTAGGTATCAGAACAATATGGGCATTCCTTTTTTATCCACGCCTGCGGTAGTCGGGCCTCTGCAAACAAACAGTCGATGCTGTCAGTAACAGCTGGGGCCAACAATCGGCGTTTTCTTTTTAAAAGCAGCAAGGGTTGTATCAGCTTGTCTGGCCCTAAAGGCCTCGGCTGGACTCACCGCAGAGAGATTTTTTAGTGCGGAGAGTCCAGAAACAGAAAACGAAGTTGTTACGTCCGCGGTGAAGAGTCGCAAAAAATGAAAGTGCTCAAGTAATGCCTTGTTAACAGTATCCGCAGGGGAAGTAGGACCAGAATTATGACCTGTGTCAATGTGCCTTAAGGCGGATTTGGGATCTGTTCAAGTAACGGACCTCATCGTCGAAGTTTCTTCAAGCAGTCCCACTATGTAGGTACTTTGGAGTGTAATATTTAGCTCGAAACGACTTGTGCAGACGGTTAATTCCATTCCACAAATTGCGGAAAGGATCTAGATCTCCGCGAGCGAAAGCTTTTCTAAACGCCGGTGAATTAGGGATTTTATCTGCTTATGTTGGTTAACAGTCCTGGGTGTTAGGGTGAGTATAGTATCCCTCTCAGTCGCTTTAGTCATATTTAGTGTCGTCAACCAACGCTACTGCTGACAACACAGTAGCGGCAGCGAGGGGGACAAGGGGAAGCCAATGTTCATTATAGGAAACAATATGTTTAAAACCAAAGGCTTTTGTAATACGGAAAGATCCAACTCGTTGGATTCGCCAACTAAGAAAGGTCGCAATCGCGAAACTGAGCCCCCATCCTGGATATAGATTCATACATACAGTTTCTCATTGAAGGATTACTAAAATAGACGCAAGGTAGATGGTAAACGTTTCCAACAACAGTTTATGAAATATTGTACTTCAGTACAATGGATAAAATCTCGTAGATGGCATGAAAAACCTCTCAACCCCCCACCCCTCCCCGTTCCAGAAGAGATTTGAGCACAAAGAACGCCAAACCAAATATACAAAAATGACCAGAAAGCCTCGAAGTCACGTTAGAATTTTAATATATCGAACGTGGGCTATTTCAAGGTGTGCGTTAGTTCAGTCTTTAGCCACGTCCACCCACGGATTTAGCTGTGAAAAGCGTTTCACCTAAAATTTGGGAGTAAATAACACAACAATTGTCTTCCATTAAAATACGTTAGTCATGGTTGAGAAAACTAGCGAATCTTCAACTCATATTACGGTATAAAAAAATTAGCTTATCGAGTAATCAAATCTTTAAACTTTTCGAGGTCGGAAAATGCAAACAGCTAATTCCTTTAAGTTCAAGAAAAAGAAGAAGAAGCGAAAGGTAAAAATCTTGAAACAAAGCATTAATATCTTGTGGCAAAATGCGTTTTTGTGTCGACTATAATCTAAAATTAAGATGGCTGAGGTCACACTTGGACTTTTTTTACTATAGTAAAGTAAATTTTACCATAGTTTGACAGTCGTTTTTAATGTGGCCGGCTTTTCTCACTTTACTATGGTAAATGCTCGTCTAGTCTGTCGCATCAACGGCGGCGGGATAAAGGCAAAGTTTACTATAGTAAATCGACCTGAATCGCGTTCGTTATCAAAAGTGTATCTAAACTTTGTTTTTTTAGCTGACAACTTGTCAGTTTTCTTGAAATGCAACTCTTCGATTGCGCCAGTTCTACGCACGCGGCGTTGCTAATACGAGGGTGAGGGTAAGGGTGGGGGTGAGGGTGAAGGTGGGGGTGAGGTTAGGGTGAGGGATTGCTATTGTAAGAAAAAACAAGGAAAATTTCAATTGCGAGAAGTTCGAGTTGTGAGAATTCCAATTTAGATTTTCATCCAAAATTACTAAAAAAATTGTCTCCTTTACAGGGTGTTTCAAAAGTTCGTTTCTATTTTTTATTCGCTTAAATTTCACTAATCATTAATAAAAAACCTTTTTTAAAACTTAGTATGTTATTCATTATTCATTCAACATTGAATAACTAAAATATTAGTAACCAGAATGTGTTCCTGTATGTTTTCTGGCATTTTGTAAGTGGTGAGGTATAGAATGTACAAGCTCCCAAAGCGTGTCCAAAGTCACATTCTTCCAGGCGAAGCGTAGTCACTGTTTAGCTCGTCCAGTGTTTTGGGGTCTGAATCTGTGAACCGACTATGGCCGCGATGAACGATGATCTTATTAAAGTACGTAATTAGTGTTTTAATAATAGGCTACTCCTGAACCCGGACAAGACTAAACTGATTGTATATGGAAGTCGACACTGAAATGATATCGAAACTTCAGGATTTTCGCCTTACCCTCTTGGGTAAAGAACTTTTACCCGTCGACTCTGTTAAGGACCTGGGTGTAGTGTTTGATAGTAAACTGTCATTCAACGACCACATAATTAAAACAGCATCATCTTGTATGTCTACCCTAGGGCAAATTAGCCGAGTTAAACATATATTTAGAAAATACATACTTGTTACAATAATTAATTCTCTCGTGTTTAGTAAGTTGTATTACTACTCGTCCGTCTGGTCGAACACTTCTGCCAGCAATATACGCAAACTACAAGGAGTACAGAATTTCGCTGCTGGCATAGTTTCTGGCACAAGGACGTTTGATCACGTATCTCCAGCCCTGAAAGACCTGAGATGGATACCAGTTAAGTCCCACCTGTATCTAAGAGACGCCATGTTGGCCTTTAAATCTATGACAGGTCAGGTACCAAACTACCTCAGTTCAAATTTTATCTCCAGAGGGAATATCAGTGGTCGGACGACCAGATCATCTTCCCAGCTTAATATACCGCTTTTTAAAACCAAGTCGGGACAGAGATCTTTTTATTACAGAACTGTGACGTTGTGGAATGCAGTAAAACCCCATTTTAAATTAAGTGAATCTCTTACCATTTTTAAACGTAAAATGAAAGCCTTCCTTCTAAATCAATTTTTAATGTCATAAACTTATATGTAAATAGTTTCTTAATAGTTTATTGATGATTTTTTTATTATTTATTTATTTATTTATTATTTTATTTTTTTCGTTTTTTTATTTTTTTTATTTCTATTTTTATTTTTTATTTTTTTTATTTTTGATTACCTGTACTATTAATACTTGTCTCTGAAAAGCCCCCATGGGGAGTTGACTATAAAATTTGTATTGTATTGTATTGTATCTTTGTATGTTGTCTCGTCTACGACAATCCGGATGGTCTCTAGTAGGTTCACATCACGTGAGTTTGCCGGCCGGTCCTCCTTTGGTATAAAGTTGGCGAATCCTTCTGACACCATGCTTACATGAAGTCTGACCGCCTTTTTCTCTTCAAGGCTTTGCAACTTTTTTTGGT